TACCTACAAAGTTTCATGTTGATACCTCTTATACATTTAGAGTTATGTCCTGGACAAAGTTCAAAATGTAAAAATAAACAAAGGGGGATAATTCAAAAATTAGGCAAGGCAGAGTTACGGTTTTTATGCACTGCACAACCTAATCAATGATATCTATCTACCTACAAAGTTTCATGTTTATACCTCTTATAGTTTTAGAGTTATGTCCTGGACAAAGTTCAAAGTGTGAAAATAAACAAAGGGGGATAATTAAAAATTAAGCAAGGCAGAGTTACGGTTCTTGTGCACTGCACACCTTCTCAATGAGCTTTATCTACCTACAAAGTTTCATGTTGATACCTCTTGTTGTTTAAAAGTTATGTCCTCGATAAGAAAAGGGGGCTGACGGACGGAAAGACGGACGGACGGACAAGGCGGCGACTATATGCTCCCCCGAAATTTTTCGGGGAGCATAAAAAAGGAAAACAAACATTTGACCTGGCTGGGGATTGAACAATTGACCTAGATCCCTTGAGGTGGAGCCATTTTTGACACTTGGGGTTTTATTTCAACAAACATGGTAGACATACACTTGAACATGTTTCATGCCAAATATCTAAGCTCTACTTCTTTTGAATTTTCACAAGAAGATTTTTTAAGTTTTTACTACATACATAAAACGAAAATCAATGAACCCTTGTGCCGGGCTAATTTTGACCCTTGGACTTTTATTCAAACAAAGTTGGCAGACATCTACTAGCAGATGTTTTATGCAAAATATCTCAGCTTTAGCTCTTTTGGATTTTCACAAGAAGTTTTTTTTTTAAGTTTTTACTATAAGGAAAATCATTGACCTGGGGTGGGGCCAATTTTGACCCTAGGGCTTTTATTTAAACAAACTTGGTAGATATCTACTAGAATGAGCCATCATAAAAACTCACCATGAAGTCATTGTCCTCAGGTGAGCTAAAAAACTAAATGACTCCCGAGACGGAACCAATATTGGCCCAAGGTGCATGATTAATACCAGTTATTTTGTAGTCCACAAAGTGATGTTACATGCCAAATATCTAAGTTTTTAGCATCATAAGTCTCAGATGTGATTTTCCTATATAAGTCTACATAAATTAAGTGACCCCTGGGGCAGAGCCATTATTGAACAAGAGGGCCATGATGGCCCTGAGGTCGCTCACCTGTATATAGGCCCCCCAACCCGCACCCCCCCCCCCCCAACGTTGCAGGGCCAATTTAACCCAAGGGCTTTTATTTGCACAAACTCGGTAGACACCCATAAGAAGATGTTTCATGCTGAACATCTAAGCTCTAGCTCATTGGGCTTTATTGAAAGAAGATTTTTTTAAAGTTTTTACTATATACACATATAGTTAAAAACAATGACACCCCTGGGGCTGGGCCAGTTTTGACCCCAGGGCTTTTATTTGAACAAACTTTGTAGACACTTACTAGAAGATGTTTCATGCTTAAAATCTAAACTCTAGCTATTTGGGTTTTTTCAAAGAAGATTTTTAAGTTTTTGCTATACACATATAAAGAAAATCAATGACCCCTGGGGCGGGGCCAATTTTGACCCCAGGGCTTTTATTTGAACAAACTTTGTAGACACTCACTAAAAGATAATTCATGCTTAATATCTTAACTCTAGCTATTTTGGTTCTTTAAAAGAAGATTTTTTAAGTTTTTACTATATGCATATAGGGAAAATCAATGACCCCCTGGGGTGGGGCCAATTTTGACCCCAGGGCTTTTATTTCAACAAACTTGGTAGACACCTATTAGAACATGTTTGATGCTCAATATCTTACCCATAGCTCTTTGAGTTCTTTAAAAGAAGATTTTTTAAGTTTTTACTATATGCATATAGGGAAAATCAATGACCCCCCGGGGCAGGGCCAATTTTGACCCCAGGGCTTTTATTTGAACAAACTTGGTAGACACCCATTACAACATGTTTCATGCTAAATATCTTAGCTCTAGCTCTTTTGGTTCTTTAAAAGAAGATTTTTTAAGTTTTTACTATATGCATATAGGGAAAATCAATGACCCCCGGGGGCGGGCCAATTTTGACCCCAGGGCTATTATTTGAACAAACTTGGTAGACACCTATTAGAACATGTTTCATGCTAAAAATCTTAGCTCTAGCTCTTTTGGTTTTTTAAAAAAAGATTTTTTAAGTTTTTACTATATGCATATAGGGAAAATCAATGACCCCCCCGGGGCGAGGCCAATTTTGACCCCAGGGCTTTTATTTGAACAAACTTGGTAGACACTTATAAGAACATATTTCATGCTAAATATCTTAGCTTTAACTCTTTTGGTTCTTTGAAAGAGGATTTTTTAAGTTTTTACTATGATGCATATAGGGAAAATCAATGACCCCCCCTGGGGCGGGGCCAATTTTGACCCTAGGGCTTTTATTTGAACAAACTTGGAAGACACCTATTAGAACATGTTTCATGCTAAATATCTTAGCTCTAGCTCTTTTGGTTCTTTAAAAGAAGATTTTTTAAGTTTTTACTATATGTATTTAGAGAAAATCAATGACCCCCCCGGGACGGGGCCAATTTTGACCCCAGGGCTTTTATTTGAACAAACTTGGTAGACACTCACTAGAAGATGTTTCATGCCAAATATCTAAGCTCTAGCTCTTATGGTTTTTTAAAAGAAGATATTTAAAGTTTTTTCTTTGGTTGTCATGGCAACCAGAGTTCTGCATGAAATTAAATTCTTTGAACAATTTTTAAAGGTGACCACCAAAGGAACATTCCTGTGAAGTTTGGATGAAATTGGCTTAGTGCTTTATGAGGAGATGTCATTTAAAGTAAAAGTTTACGGACGGACGGACGATGGACGGACGACGGACGGACGCCGGACGAAAAGCGATCACAAAAGCTCACCCTGTCACTTTGTGACAGGTGAGCTAACAAAGGGCATGATTCATAATAGTTTTTGAAAGGTCAGGTAATATATATATATTTTTCCTATAAGGTCTAAAAGATATGAGTGAAAACCAAATTGTGAAAATGATACAAAATGATTAAGTGTGATGATTAAGTGTGACCTCAGAAAGGTCAAACATGTTAGCTGCAAATTGTCTCATTATGGTTAACGTTTCTGCCAAGTAGTTTCAATACCCTTCCACCAGTTCAATACAAATAAATGTCCTTCATGGACTAGTGGTTGTGGCATTAAGAACATATAAATAGATAAGAAATGAAGAACAAAGTACCGCAAAGGCCGAGCAATATACGCCCGAACGAAACTTGTTTGAGTTATAAAAAATAATCTTTCAATTCAGGAATAAAATCGATAGAGATGATATTGATACATTGTTGATATTTTTCTGTCGATCAATAATTAATACACATTTGAAAAAATCAATTATTTTGATAAATTATTTAAATGTCAATGAATTATGAAAATTCACTAAAAATATATACAAAAGCAGGTGGCCAAGAAAAACAAGCAATTATCATAGTATTGCAAGCAATCCATAAGTCCCCTACCGGTAAGAACCCCATCAACATTCTGAAGGGCCAATGGCCATTCACTAATGTTTCAATTTTTCTATATTTTAAGTAAATTTGTTGGAAAAGTTCTTTAAAAGTGATCACAGGAAACAGTTTTTATGAACAGACAGACAGACGGACTCAAGGACACTCTAAAGTTAATATTTGAAACAATTCCCTGTTACCAAAATATAACATTTTTAAAAGCAAAATGCTTAAAGAGGAGATAACTCTTGAATTAAAGATGCAATTTCATAAAAAAAATTCAGCTCTTTTTGACTTATCACAAACAATGTTATATTTGCCATGTTTTAAGCCTATTTGTTGCCAAGGCAACCAATATTTTTTCAAAATAGGGAGAACAGATAAGACATGCATAATCTCAAGACTGCCATCTACCCATATATCAAGTTTCATAAAAATATTTCCAGTACTTTTTGAGTTATCACTGGATTCAGTATAAGTGTTAAATTTGCCATATTTTCAGTCTATGTGTTGCCATAGCAACCAGAATTTTCAGCATAGGAAGAAAAGAAAAAAACGTGCATAATCTCCAGACTGCCATCTACTCATATTACAAGTTTCATAAAAATATTTCTATTACTTTTGCGTTAACACAGGATCCAGTTTATGTGTAAAATTTGGCATATTTTCAGTCTATTTGTTGCCATAGCAACCAGAATTTTCAACATAGGAAGAAAAGAAAAAGACGTGCATAATCTCCAGACTGCCATCTACCCATATTTTAAGTTTCATAAAAATATTTCCAGTACTTTTTGTGTTATCACTGGATCCAGTTTATGTGTAAAATTTGCCATATTTTAAGCCTATTTGTTGCCATAGCAACCAGAATTTTCAACATAAGAAGAAAAGAAAAAGACGTGCATAATCTCCATACTGCCATCTATCCATATATCAAGTTTCATAAAAATATTTTCAGTACTTTTCAAGTAATCGCGGGATCCAGTTTTGTGGATGGACGGACTGACGGACTGACAGACAGACAGACAGACAGACTGACAGACGGACAGACAGACAGACAGACAGACAGACAGACAGACGGACAGACAGACAGACGGACAGAGGGTAAACCTAAAGTCCCCTCCGGTTAACCGGTAGGGGACTAAAAATCATGCAAAGGTCATTTAGAAACGAGACACAACATATTTGCATGAACAGAAAATTTATTTTATCAAAATCATTTAAACAGGTATGAAAAAGTATCATCAAGAAATAAGGAGTTTTTATCAATACATCTGTATATCACCGACATATGTCCTTGGATAAAGGTATATCGTCAATATGCTTTGCACTGAATCAATGACAGGTCTAATAAAAACCCATTCATAAAACTTCACCAAAAAATCTTTATCTAAATTATTCTTTTATTCTTTACCCTACATGCATGATTCATAAAACTTAAGGTAGGCGGCTAAAAACAACTTGTGACTATTAAAAATTCAAAACAAAAATCAATGATATAAATAAACTAACCTTTATTTGCATTTCCCCTTTGTTACTACACATAGATATCTGAGTATTTTTGCCCTTAGTCTTTATTACAGGACCTTGGTAGAAATAATTGTATTCATGAATAACAATTGGTTGTGAATCTCTTCTAGGTCTTAGACTAGGTGTAGATGTATCCTCTTGTTCACAAATTGGTGCCTTTCTTGATGATCTAATTTTAGTTTCATCTTCCACTGTAACATTTCCATCCACAACTGATGTGTCATTTTGTGGTACTTCAACATACGGTTCCATATCTAAATTAGAAAAGAAAGAATAGAGTAATTTATGTTATCACATACATATGGGCCATGATGGCCCTAATATGATACCACTCATCTAATTATTAAGGCTCTTAATGACAAGGAACAATAAATATTGTTAACCATGAATGAAATGTAGATATAATGACTTCATAATGTCATGACTTAAACTGATATCATAATGTTCATATTCGCATCTGAAAAATTGCAAATGTAAGCAATTTTTTTTTCATATGAAACCTGGACGCGGATGCCGATGCCAAGGCAAGTAGGACAGCTCTCCATATACTTTGTATAGTCTAGCTAATAAGTGATTCAAACTAGAACTATCACTAAATGTGATTAATACCCCCACAAGACTGATTCGGAAATGAGGATGTTACTAGTAACAGAATATCTTGTAAAAGAATTGAAATATAGAGTTATGGTTGTGGGCAATTAAAGATAGTTGTGGTTCTTGTATATTGCATTTCCTTTCAATGTGGTTGGCCATTGATGAAGTTTTATTGAATTACTCTGTAATAAGTCCAGAAAGACAAAGAAAAGGAACAAAGGGCAATAACTCTATAAATACTGAAGATGGAGTTATAGTTCTTGTGCACTGCACTTCCTCTTTTTGTGCTTGACCATTGTATGAAGTTGTTTTGAATTTCAACCAGTACGTTTTAAGTTATGCTCCAGACAAGGAAAAGTATCAAAGGGCAGTAACTCTGTATTTTGTCAAAATGGAGTTATGGCTCTTATGCACTGCACTTCCTTTTAATTTCCTTGACAACTGTATGAAGTTGTATTGAATTCCAAACAGTAGTTTACAAGTTATGCTCTGGACAAGGAAAAGTAACAAAGGGCAATAACTCTGTAATTTGTCAAGATGGAGTTATGGTTCTTGTGCACTGCATTTCCTCTCAATGTGCTTGACCATTGTATGAAGTTATATTGAATTCCAACCATTAGTCTTCAAGTTATGCTCCGGACAAAAAAAAAAAGCAATGGAAAAGTAACAAAGGGCAGTAACTCTGTAATTAGTCAAGATGGAGTTATGGTTCTTGTGCACTGCACTTCCTCTTCAATGTGCTTGACCATTGTATGAAGTTATAATGAATTCCAACAATTAGTCTTCAAGTTATACTCCGGACAAAAGAAAGCAATGGAAAAGTAACAAAGGGCAATAACTCTGTAATTACTTTAGATAGAGTTATGGTTCTTATGCACTGCACTTCCCCTTACTGTGTTTGACAATTGTATGAAGTTGTTTTGAATTCCAACCAATAATTTTCAAGTTATGCCCCGGACAAGGAAAAGTAACAAAGGGCAATAACTCTGTAATTAGTCAAGATAGAGTTATGGTTCTTGTGCACTGCAATTCCTCTCAATGTGCTTGACCATTATATGTAGTTATATTGAATTCCAACTATTAGTCTTCAAGTTATGGTCCGGACAAAAGAAAGCAATGGAAAAGTAACAAAGGGCAATAACTCTGTAATTACTTTAGATAGAGTTATGGTTCTTGTGCACTGCACTTCCCCTTATTGTGTTTGACAATTGTATGAAGTTGTTTTGAATTCCAACCAGCAGTTTTCAAGTTATGCCCCGGACAAGGAAAAGTAACAAAGGGCAATAACTCTGTAATTAGTCAAGATAGAGTTATGGTTTTGTGCACTGCAATTCCTCTCAATGTGCTTGACCATTGTATGTAGTTATATTGAATTCCAACCATTAGTCTTCAAGTTATGGTCCGGACAAGGAAATCGCAACGGACGTCTGGACCAACCGACCGACCGCCCGACCAACCGACCACCGGGTGACTCCTATATACCCCCCCAAACTTCGTTTTTGGGGGTATAATTAATATATTTTCTATCTCGATTGAAAATAATAAAATATGGGCCTAAGTGGTTCATAAACAGTCTGCTATGTTATTGCTAAGGTATAATTAACCAAGAGGGCCATGATGGCGCTGAGGTCGCTCACCTGTATATAGCCCCCCCCACCCATAAGAAGATGCTTCATGCTAAACATCTAAGTTCTAGCTCATTGGGTTTTTTAAAAGAAGATTTTTTAAGTTTTTACTATACACATATAGTTAAAAACAATGACACCCCTGGGGCAGGGCCAGTTTTGACCCCCGGGCTTTTATTTGAACAAACTTTGTGGATATTCACTTAAAAATGTTTCATGTATAATATCTAAACTCAAGCTATTTGGGTTTTTTGAAAGAAGATTTTTAACTTTTTGCTATACACATATAAGGAAAATCAATGACCCCCGGGGCAGGGCCAGTTTTGACCCCAGGTCTTTTATTTGAACATATTTGGTAGACACCCATTAGAACATGTTTCATGCTAAATATCTTAGCTCTAGCTCTTTGAGTTCTTTAAAAGAAGTTTTTTAAGTTTTTACTATATACATATAGGGAAAATCTATGACCCCCTGGGACAGGGCCAATTTTCACCCCAGGGCTTTTATTTGAACAAACTTGGTAGACACTCACTAGAAGATGTTTCATGTCAAATATCTAAGGTCTAGCTCTTACGGTTTTTTAAAAGAAGATTTTTTAAGTTTTTACTATATGCATATAGGGAAAATCAATGACCCCCCGGGGCAGGGCCAATTTTGACCCAGGGCTTTTATTTGAACAAACTTGGTAGACACTCACTAGAAGATATTTCATGTCAAATATCTTAGCTCTAGCTCTTTGGGTTCTTTAAAAGAAGATTTTTTAAGTTTTTACTATATGCATATAGGGAAAATCTATGACCCCCTGGGGCAGGGCCAATTTTGACCTCAGGGCTTTTATTTGAAAAAACTTGGTAGACACTCATTTGAAGATGTTTCATGCTAAATATCTTAGCTCTAGCTCTTAGGGTTCTTTAAAAGAAGATTTTTTAGGTTTTTACTATATGCATATAGGGAAAATCAATGACCCCCTGGGGCGGGGCCAATTTTGACCCCAGGGCTTTTATTTGAACAAACTTGGTAGACATTCATTAGAAGATGTTTCATGTCAAATATCTAAGCTCTAGCTCTTACGGTTCTTTAAAAGAAGATTTTTTAAGTTTTTACTATATGCATATAGGGAAAATCAATGACCCCCCGGGCCGGGGCCAATTTTGACCCCAGGGCTTTTATTTGAACAAACTTGGTAGACACTCATTAGAAGATGTTTTATGCCAAATATCTTAGCTCTAGCTCTTTGGGTTCTTTAAAAGAAGATTTTTTAAGTTTTTACTATATGCATATAGGGAAAATCAATGACCCCCTGGGGCCGGGCCAATTTTGACCCTAGGGCTTTTATTTGAACAAACTTGGTAGACACTCATTAGAAGATGTTTCATGCCAAATATCTAAGCTCTAGCTCTTACGGTTCTTTAAAAGAAGATATTTAAAGATTTTTCTTTCGGTTGCCATGGCAACCAGAGTTCTGCATGAAATGGAATTCTTTGAACAATCTTGATAGAGCTTTATACAAAGAGTATTCCTGCCAAGTTTCATTAACATTGGCCATGCGGCATCATAGAAGATGTCCTTTGAATATTTAAAATGTGGACGGACGACTGACGACGGACGCCATTTGGTTGGCCATCCTAAAAGCTCACCTGCACTTTGTGCAAGGTGAGCTAATAAAAAGGTGCCACTAGTACATGCTGGTAATGAAATCAAACCCATAAAATTGTACAAATTATTAGTTTTTCAAGAATTCTATATATAGTTCACATTGAAACTATTCATAACCCTCTCAACCATGACGTCATCAAGTCATGATGTCACAAATGTTTATGTTGAAAAACATATTTAACATAATTTGTGTTGTTTATAACATCTTTGCTTAATATATATTTGTCCTTAAAATGTGTCGTAAGTTTTTTGTGTGAAAATGGCTGCAGAGGTCATTTTCTCACCTTGTTTTTCTATCAGTGTGCAAACGGATCCATAAATGAAAAACAGTGCAATGCTTTAAACTCCAATTCGGGTAATAATGGCACTAAAAATTGATTGTAATCTGGTTATGTGTTGGTGTAGTTCTGTAACATAACAAGTAGTTTACTGCAGAAAGTATCTGGAGGACTGCATGGCATGGTTTGCATTGACAATTTGAGAGACACTATTATTTTTTAAACACATTTGTAATGGCAACGGGATGTTGTGCACATTGTCACAGAATCATAAAAGACACTTGGTGAAGGGAGGGATGTATAATGACAATTTCAGTCATCAGACATAAACCACTTTGAAAATGTTCATTACTCCAATAAGAGCAAGTACAAATAATATACCCCTGACAACCTGCACTATATTGAGGCAAATATTTACTATGGTATTGCATAAATATTAATATTTAGTTTTGTCAAAGTCTTATTTATTTTATGCAAATAAGTATACAGTGTTCACTAGTAATTGAAAGCAAATGTGACAAACATTTGTGGTTTATTTAGCGTGTTTGATGTATAAGAGATATTTTGTCCTAGGACTGATTTTCTTTCTTACATTAACCTTAAAATTATGAGACCAACATTTGTGGTTTATTTGGTGTGTTTGGTTTATATAATATTTTTTTGTGCCATATTCTAATGCTTAGGAATGACTTTCTTTCTTACGTAAACCATAAAATTTATAACTTAAAAAAATACAAATAGTACTTGAATGGGAACCCTGAGTTTCATCTTCCACTGTAGCATTTCCATCAACAACTGATCTGTCACTTTGTGGTGTTTCAACATACAGTACCATATCTAAATTAGCTGCATTCAAAGAAAAGAAAGAATAGAGTAATTTATGTTATCACAAACAAATGGACCATAATAGCCCTGATATGATATCGCTCATCTAATTATTAAGGCTCTTAATGACAAGGAATAATAAATATTGTTATACATGAATGAAATGAAGAAATAATGTCTTAATCTTAAACTGATATAATAATGTTCATATTCGCATCTGAAAATTTTTTTTCACATTGGGGCTGTGCAACCTAGTTTTGACCCTAGATGACCTATAATTAAACTTGAGGTAAAAACCATTTTAACAACCTTACCAACAAATTTCATGAATATTTCGAATAAAAATATTAAATTTACAGTGTTTACAAGGTCTTTTTCATATTGGGCTCCAGACAACCCATATTCAATTTGCATATCAACCTTTCTGGCAAATTTTCAGGATATTTGGGCTGAAAATATTGTTTCTACAGAATTATCTATTTGGACTTTGTGACCTAGATTTTAACTAAATATTCAAACTTGACCTAGAAATCATAAAAACATCTGACAAATTCCCATTATATTTGAAATGAAAATATTATCTCTTGAGTGTTTAAGGTAGCTCGCTACTTTGCGACCGAAATTTGACAATATCTCAGATCTTGATGATTTTTGGTATACATAAATATAGATATGTAAGCTTTACTTCTGCAGCATTATTTTACAAATAAACAGCGTTACTATGACGTCAAAGCTCCCTCTATCGGTGGCGGCAAAATTGCGTCTTTTTTATCAATAAACCGGTCTGTTCTTATTAATTTTCATCCGATTTCCTTCGTTTTAATTTTATAATGTTCAGTAAATGTATGTCTTTGAAATAATGTCATTATTTAACATTTGCATAATACTCTGCGATTCTACGTTATTTAAACCCACATTCTGACGTCCATTTATGATACAAATATCGCGCGATATCGCAATAAAGATTGTAAAATAACAAAAAATCAACACGATGAATTTTGCTATAATTTTTTTTAACATGTAGTGAAGTCATGAAAGAAAATATTTATGCAATAAAAATATAGGGTCAACGCGTAAGATATTTTGCTATCACTGTTTTAATATAAGATAAAGGATGAGTAAAACGTAATGATTTTGGTGACGTCAAATATTTTTCTCAAGGAAATTGTCACGACTTTTCCGATAAATAGTATACTGACTGGAATTAAAATGTGTGAAAACCATCAACAACAATAGTATTTAGACATGTTCCGTAAAATGTTCTTTTAAAAGTCCTGTCAGGTGCCCACATTTCGATGAACAACTTCAATTATATACATGTACAACAAATCAGGGTATGACTGTCTGCAAATGTTTGTATCAATCTCTAAAAAACTGCAACGAATGGTTATAAATACCTCGAGGACTGAAAGACAATTCATAATATTGAAAGATATAATTAAAAGGCCACCTAAGTGGAAATAATACAAACATAAATTTTGCAAAGAATGTCAGAAAAAAAGAATGAAAAGGCTGGTGCAGTCGCGGTGTCATCATGTTATGTGTATCATTCTCGGTACTACATAAACTTCCATGTTATCATACGTATGTAACAATTTCGAATTGTATATATCAGTTAGTAGGAAATGAATCAAATTTATGTTTTAAAAATGTAAGATCAACTCGAATTAAGTAACAACGATTTGTACGTAAGTCATGATTCACTGGTAGTCTTAATTATATAAATCTAGCAGACATTTACTTTAAAACTTTTCTACTCGTATACAAATTTATTTGAGCCACGTCACGACAAAACCAACATAGTGCGTTTGCGACCAGCATGGATCCAGACCAGCCTGCGCATCCGCGCAGTCTGATCAGGATCCATTCTGTTCCCTATCAGTTTCTCTACTTGTTAAAATGTTTATAAGCGAACAGTATGGATCCTGATCAGACTGCGCGGATGCACAGGCTGATCTGGATCTATGCTGGTCGCAAACCCATTATGTTGGTTTTGTCGTGACACGGCTCATTTATTAACAGCCATCAGTTATTCTATTTTCTCTCGCAGCTGAATACTAGTAAATAATATCCCTGCACTAAGCGTGAGACTCAGATTTAAAGGAGGAATCACGTTCTCATGCTATGGCTTGATTTTCTCACGCATTTCACATAATTACAGATATTCTTATTTTATTTAAAACTCGCTGACTCGCGTATGCGTTTACTAGCGCATCTTTGAGGCGACCTGAAGCCGCGATCATTTCTCGATTCGAGGCGAAAGATCCGTTGATTTATTTTGTATGTTCATAAGAGGATAATTTTGCATATTAAAATTAATACAGATTCCCTTGTATAGAAGACGATCATGTAGGATCCTCAATTTGTGTGAATATGGTTTTCGGAGAAGTTCGTTTTTATCTGCACATAATACAGTGCTATGTAGAGCCTATGAAAATAATGAACTATGCATTTTATGTTTTATATCTTCTTATTTTTTTAATATTGGGTTTAACGCCGCTTTCAACAGTATTTCAATTATAGCTGAGGGATTTAACAAAACCAGTGTTTCTCACAGTATCAACTTCTCTACGTAAATAAATGACAGGGTCCGAGGTGGACCTGGAAACATTTCATACACAGTAAACAATTCTAAAGGATAATCTATTAGTACAATACGCAATCGTGTCTCGAATTCATGCCTTCCGAAATCAGCGTAAGACCACTTTACCGATTACAGAATATTAAAAGTTAAAAACCTGATTATGATCTCCCTTAATAAGGCAGAAGTCCACTTTATTGTTTACATCATAAACACGTGTTTTGGTGTGTGTTTTCGTTTTTTTTTGTTTTTTTTTTTCTATTTTTGTTTTAAAGCAAACTGTATTGTATTAAAAATGAACACGATAACGTCAACATAATACATTATTCGTATTCAGTCGGGTAACAAATGTTGCACAAGGTATTTAATAATTATATTTTGTATTTAATTAAGATATACAGTAGAAATGCCCTTTGTTGCCTAGAGCGGTTGCTCTACAGAGGTAAAATGTAGTGGAGCCCTTTAGAAATAAATAATATTTTGAGGGCCGCTTTGTTATACTGTAATGTCAAAAAGCGGTAAGTAGGTATACGTAAATCCGAGTTCCAAAAAGTTTTATAGTTTGTCATTTTCCAATTATGACATTTTAATTAGATTATAATTATATAATCTATGTATTGCACATACTTAAAAATGGTAAGCAAAAATAAATGTTTTTGTTTCTTGTACAGTTTGTTTTTAAATATTCTTAACATGTTTTAATATTATTTCTGAATTTAAGTAATAGAAAGAGCACCGAAACACGAGGCTATCTGATTTGTACGAGGGGGGCGTAGCCCCCCCGAGTATTAATCAGATTGCAGAGTGTTTTGGTGTTCTTTCTCTTTTGTATCATAGTCAAACATTAAAGCACGTTCCTTGTTGTCACAAAATGAAACCCCGGCAAAAATGAACCAATGAACGAACATCTGAATATGACATTTCTGTCGCTTTCCCTTTCTCTGCCGTCACAATATGTAACCCCCAGCAAAAATGAGCCAACCAATGGGCATGCTCTGGAGTGCGGGTAACTAATACCCGCACTCCAGTTAACGCACTGTGCATGTATATGTATACGATTTAACCCTGACACATTTTTAACAGAAAGGTCTCCAAACTATGATACAATTTATCACTTATTTCACATTTGTATGCATATCTATTTTAATACATTTTTATGATCTGTTTTAACACCCAGGCTCGTCTGCCTGTATTTGATTTTATGAAAGTGTTTAAAAGCTGAATGTAACGTAAAATAAATATTCTAACGCGGTATAAGCTAAGCGACCTAATATTTTACTTCATTTCATACAGCAATATGTGAATCTTATTTTTTTTTTCGCTGAAACTAGTTAATTCATATAATAATATAACACTTTTCACTCTTTCATTACAAACATCAAAATATAAAATTAAAATTAAAAGATGTATGAGACTGCGTCCTGCAAATTAGAAATGTATTTAAGATTAAACATTGTAAATTTGCTGATCTAGCGCATGCTTTCAATGAGAAAATAATCAACAATTTAAAAAATATACATTTCATCAAGTTCCTGTGTTGTTTATACTTACATTCGTAATGTTTGACATAAGAAAATTGTTATTTGGTATTATTCTTTGAACTCCAACGTCTATTAACGCCACAAAAACCATTACGTTACATTCCCTTTATTTTATTTTAAAACAGTAATAGCAAAATATCTTACGCGTTGACCCTATATTGTAATTGCATAAATATTTTCCTTCACTTTCTCACGACACGCTCGAAAAATTATAGCAAAGTTCAACGTGTTGAATTTTTTTTATTACACAATCTTTATTGCGATATCGCGCGGTATTTGCATCAGATATGGACGTCAGAATGTAGAGAAAAATGACGTAGAATCGCAGACTATTAAGCAAATCTTAAAGAAAGATATCATTACAAAGACATACATTTACTGAACACTATAAAATTAAAACGAAGGAAATCGGATGCAAATTGATAAGAACAGATTGGTTTACTGAGAAAAAGACGCAATTTCACCGCAACCGATAGAGGGCGCTTTGACGTCATAGTAACGCTGTTTATTTATAAAATAATACTGCAGAAGTAAAGCTCACATATCTATATGTTTGCATACAAAAAATCATCAAGATCTGAGATGTTGTCAAATTTCAGTCGGAAAGTAGCGAGCTACCTTCAGGGACTTCACTGATTTTTTTGACAAGATGGGACTGGAATTTTTTTCCGAGATTTGTAGATCTGCAAAATAACTTGTGTGCAAATTTTCAGGTCATTCTCGCACCTTGTTTCACCTATACAGTCAAGACTGCCTGAGGGACCCCTGATTTCAACGACTCCCTGTCTTATCCCACCTTGTTTCATTCCTCCCAAGGTATTTCCCTATATAAATGGTCTGAATTAAACGACTCCCTGTCATACGAGGGGTTATCCAAAAGTTTGTGGACTTTCTTTGTTGCGTAAACTAATTATTTGAGATATTGATTTGAAATTCTTACACTGCACAGAAGAATATATAGCAAATAAAAACAGAAAAATTCATGTTAGTAGCTTCTTATATTACAACAATATTTAATTTACATAAACACATGTCGGCAACAGTGGCGCACTCCAAAAAGTTATTGACGTCAACATCATAATATTTAACGTACAACTTATGCTTCAACATTACGCAGTCAATAATCATTACTGCTTCACAAAGTAATGTCCATCACTAAATTTTTATGCCACTTTAACACTTATGATAGTAAAATTTTATTTTCTCTGTTTGCCTGCTTTTTTTCAAATGTTTTTGTTGGTGTCATTCCCAAATTACAACAAAACTACATGTATATGATCAGGGTATTTTCTAATTTCTGCATGTCCGTTGAAAACACTATTGTAGTTTGGCATTTCTGGCTATTTCAACAAAAATGACGTTAATAATTTAATTGAATTACTTAAATGACATCATAGAAGGAAGATGCGATTTTTAGCAGGTTTTCTACGTTATTAGTAGTTTTTTAACAAAAAATATACGATGACTTACTTTGTTTTTCTATCGTGCGCCGGGTACCGTGTATGCGCTTATTTAAAAGCAATATAAAACCATTATTTATCGACGCAGTTAACTGTTTGTTTAAAAAAAGTGTTGATAATATTCTACAATGTATGCTGATAAAATTTCATTACAATACATGTGGACGTTCAAAATATATTGAAAAAGTCCACAAATTTTTGGATAACCCCTCATATGTGACAAGCGACCCTAATTATCTGGTCCCAATGCATTGCTTTGTCTGATTTAAACGACTTTCCCACCTTTTAATTGTCGTTTATCAGATAAATAATACCTGTTTTAACACCCAGAGGGTCAAAAAATTTAGTCCAAAATTTTTATCCATAGCCCAAATAACTTAAAAAAACTTCTACACAACTCTTTCATCAGTTAACAGTTTACAGGTTTTTCAATGACTAGTGTTACTCTTACTGCCCCCAAAAATGGGTAAACATGATGCAAATGATGTGTATTAACTAATTCAGGTATGAAGTACATAATCACCTGAGCAAACTGGATTAAGATTTTGTGTCAGATTTTTTTACTGTTTATGTAGTGCCAAAGGACAATTTTTTAGGCAGCATTTTTTTTATTTCACCTATGGCTACATGAATTCTACCTGAAAATGTTGATACCTTCCATTTAAAGAGATTAATATGTCCGGTCATTCTCTCACCTAGTTTTTCCTATACATGTACATGGATTTTCATTGTGCAAACTGACCCAAAATGCAACGCTTTAAACTCCAATTCGGGTAATAATGGCACTAAATAATGATTGTAATCTGGTGATGTGTTGGTGTAGTGCTGTAACATAGCGAGTAGTTTACTGCAGGAAGTATCTGGATGACTGCATAGCATGGTTTGCATTGACAATTTGAGGGACATTGCTATTCTTTAAACATAATTGAGCCGTGTCAGGACAAAACCAACATAGTGCGTTTGCGACCAGCATGGATCCAGAGCAGCCTGCGCATCCGTGCAGTCTGATCAGGATCCATGCTGTTGGCTATTATTTTCTCTACTTGTAAAAGGGTTGGTAAGCGAACAGCATGGATCATGATCAGACTGCGCGGAAGCGCAGGCTGGTATGGATCCATGCTGGTAGCAAACGCACTATGTTGGTTTTGTCGTGATGCGGCTCATATTTGTTTGACTATAAGAATAAGTAATGGTAATAGGATGATGTGCACATCGTCACAGAATCATAAAAGACACTTGCTGAAGGGAGGGATGTATAATGACAATTTCAGTCATCAGACATAAACCACTTCAAAAATGGTCATTACTCCAATAAGAGCAAGTAGAAACATTATACCCCTGGCAACCTGCACTATATTGAGGCAAATAACTGGTATTGCATAAAAATTAATATTTAGTTTTGTCAAAGTCTTATTTATATCATGCAAATAAGTATACAGTGTTCACTAGTAATTGAAAGCAAATGTGACAAACATTTGTGGTTTATTTAGCGTGTTTGATGTATAAGAGATATTTTGTCCTAGGAATGATTTTCTTTCTTACATAAACCTTAAAATTAATCACTTAAAAAAATAAAAATAGTATGTGAATGGGAACACTGACATCAAATAAATAGCAAAAATTTCACAACTTACGATATGGACAGAATCTTTCTATACATTTCTTTCCAAGACCTATAACAAAAACAAAATCTTTACAAATTCAAGTAAAAACATAATTGAAAAGAATCTATATAGTTTATCAAAATGAATGTAATATTGTTTATGAGAAAATACAGACTGTTTATGTACTATATTTGCCCAGGGGTACACAATAAAACAAGAGGGCCATGATAGCCCGTTTATTGCTCACCTCTTACTCTTCATCATAAGGAACAAGTAATATTGTAAACTATAAACAAAAGATACAAAGTATAAATCTTAAACTGATATTACAAAGTTCATATTTTATCTGAAATAGTGCACATGTAAAAAAATTTTTGGCTGCTATTGCTAAGGAAAAACAAGAGTTCGATAAGATGTCACTGGTTGCTACACAAAATAAACTGTGCTATGAAATTCAATGGTAGATTCAATAGTTGCTATGGAAAGTTAATGTTTTTTTATGGCACACACTTGTTGCTATAAAAATTAACAGTTTGCAATGAAAATCAGTGGCTGCTTTGAAGTCACTAACTGTTATGCCAGAAACTATTAGCTTAAGCTCTTGCAGATTTTGAGAAGAAATTTATACATATGAGGAAAACTATGTTCCCCGGCCCCGGGGCGGACCCAATTTTGACCAAAGGGCATAATTTGAACAATCTTTATAGAAGTCCACCAGACAATGTTTCATAACAAATATTTAAACTGAAGCCTCTATAGTATAATAGAAGAAGAGTTCAAGGGCTTCTGTTTAATTTAATTTAATTTTTTATGCTATATATAGTGTAGTTATTTGTTAGGCCACTTGTAATAAAGCATATTTAGACATATACTTTTTATTAGTATAAATATCTTCTGATATATTGAGAGAGGTCTACTAGATTTTGTTTCATACAAAATTTCTAAGCTTAAGTCTAAAGAAATTATAAGGAAAATTAAAGACCCCCTGAGCCAGAGCCAATTTCAACCCCAGAGCTTTTATTTTAACAAACTTGGTAACACCCACTAGAAAATGTTTCATGCTAAATATCTTAACTCTAGCTCTCTGGCTTTTTAAGAAGATTCTTTTTTGGTTTTTACTATATACATTCTAACTTGCCCATGCGACTACATGTATTAAGCAACTTTGTCTTATGTGGCCACCTGATCATTTTCTCTCTATATCTTTAATGTATTAAGCGACTTTTGCTCAATGCGACCAACAACCACTTATTAGTCAGCTAATTGAGATCAATAATCTTTACTTTACATGTCAAGTAATTGTGTTTTAGAGAACACCGCCTCGTAATGTCACAAGTGTCAACAATCAAAACACAATATATAAATGTGTGAAAAACTCTATTTCCCAAACCATTTTAGTGTATGCAAATTAAGTTAAGTATACATGTGATATGTATTATCCCATAATATCAACTAAACGATGAAAGGCTCCGCCCCAACTGAGATTAACGTGTATACACTTCACTGTTGATATTTAGACTGCATTAAATTGACCTTGAACTTGATCAGCAATTAAATTAATCGTTACAATTAGATGTTGTTTGCTTATTTCAAATGAAAAATGCACAACAGAAAAAAGTTTCACATATAAGGGTTTTCATACTGGAGACAAGGAAATACAACGGAGAAGTTAAAAAATTCTGGAAAAATGTCAACATGTACATAATGGATCAAAATCGTTTTGTCAATAAATATCAGAAAGTTATTTTTCTATTACTCATTAGCATCCATTTAGATTATCAAACATTAATATAAATGAAGTTGAAAAACATTCCCAACACAAAAGAAAGTTGTCATGTATAAATTGTGACATTTAATCATGCTTTGTCTTAAAAGACTGTTTATTTAAGCGACCATTTTGGGTGTTTCCCTTGCACGGTCGCTTAATACACGTTGGACTGTACATAAATATTATAAAGAAAATCACCCCTGTGGTGGGGCCTATTTTGATTCCATGCAGGGCTTTTATTTCCATAAACTTTAATGGTAACACCCTCTAGAAGATGTTTCATGCTATATATCTAAGCTCTAGCTTTTTGGCTTTTAAAGAAGACATTTTTTTAAGTTTTTACTATATAAATATCAGGGAAATCAATGACCCTCTGGGGCCGAGCCAATTTTGACTCCAGGGCTTTTAATTGAACAAACTTGGAAGAAACTCACTAGAAATTTTATGCTAAATATCTGAGCTCTAGCTCTTTGGGTTTTTTTTTAAAGATTTTTTAGACTTTCTTTTTGGTTGCCATTGCAACCAAAGTTCTACATGGAAATAAATTCTTTGATCAATTTTCAAAGATGACCCCCAAAAAACATTCCAGTGAAGTTTGGATGAATTTGGATTAGCCGTTTATGAGCCAATGTCATTTAAAGTAAAAGTTTACAGATTGGTGGACGCCTGACAGATGGATGCTGGACGAATTATGATCTCAAAAATAATTTTCCAAAGAAAATGATGACTGTTTATTTGATACACATATGGTTTTCCATATTTGGACTGTGTGGCCTACTTTTTTTACCCCTAGATGACCCATATTCAAACTGTTTTAGAAATTATCGAAACAACCTCTCTGACTAATTTCCAGGATATCTAGACTGAAACAGTATCCGTTAAAGTGTTGACAAGGTTATTTCCATATTTAGAAACCTATGGACCGGGCTGGGGCCTTGACAATTGAGGCAAACTTTGAACAACCTTGTAAGTGGTCCTATATTTGATATAATTTACCAAATCTCAAAGCTCTAAGTGTTGTATCTTCAAACAATAAGATTTTTTAAGTTTTTACTTTATGTACATAATGAAAATCGATGACCCCGGATTTGACCCCAGGACTTAAATTTGAACAATCTTGGTAGAGGTATACTTCACAATGTTTCATGCCCAAATATCTAGCCTCTAGCCTTTGTCAATTCAGAGAAGAAATTGTCAATTCAGAGAAGAAATTTTTTAAGTTTTTACTATATACGGAAAATCAATGACCCATGGGGCAAGGCCAATTTTGTTATACTTGAACAAAAGACATTATCTGGAACTCGGCAAATGTGGGTTTTTCCCAGCTAATCTGTAGGTACAAACTAACTTTTACCGTTATAGCTTCATATCGCTCTTACCGGTAAGTCACAAAAGACAAGTCAACCTGTTTTGCTTATTTTCGAAGCTGTTACTGTAAAAAGTTTGTATCTACGGATTAGCTGGGAAAACCCAAAATATTCTTAATTCCAGAGAAAGTCTTTTTCGTAGAGTTTCATTAGATAATGCTACACACAAAATATCGAAGCTCTAGGTCTTGCACTTTCGGAGAAGAAGACTTTTTTAAGTTTTAACTTATAATATAATATGTATATAATGAAATCAATAATAAAAAAAATGACTGGATGCGAACCCAGGGCTTGGGCCTATTGTCGGCTGTTGTTTACAGATGGCACAATCCTGGCACCAGCACAAATTACCAGCACTATTGCACCAAAGAGTATAATAGCTGCATGCAAATGATGCACTGCACACATCATGCAATCAGGCTCTTGTCAAGACTCCTGATGAGTTCACAACTGCTGAACAAAACCAGTCATGGATGTCTAGTAAAAACAAGAGGGCCATGATGGCCCTGAGGTAGCTCACCTCTATAAAGCCCCCCCCCCCCCCCGGGCCAATTTTTACCCAAGGGCTTTTATTTGAACAGACTTGGTAGACACCCATAAGAAGATGTTTCATGCTAAACATCTAAGTTCTAGCTCATTGGGTTTTTTAAAGAAGATTTTTTAAGTTTTTACTATACACATATAGTTAAAAACAATGACACCCCTGGGACAGGGCCAGTTTTGACCCCCCGCTTTTATTTGAACAAACTTTGTAGATATTTACTTAAAGATATTTCATGTATAATATCTAAACTCAAGCTATTTGGGTTTTTTCAAAGAAGATTTTTAAGTTTTTGCTATACACATATAAGGAAAATCAATGACCCCCGGGGCAGGGCCAGTTTTGACCCCAGGGCTTTTATTTGAACATACTTGGTAGACACCCATTAGAACATGTTTCATGCTAAATATCTTAGCTCTAGCTCTTTGAGTTCTTTAAAAGAAGATTTTATAAGTTTTTACTATATGCATATAGGGAAAATCAATGACCCCTGGGGCGGGGCCAATTTTGACCCCAGGGCTTTTATTTGAACAAACTTGGTAGACACTCATTAGAAGATGTTTCATGCTAAATATCTTAGCTCTAGCTCTTTGGGTTCTTTAAAAGAAGATTTTATAAGTTTTTACTATATGCATATAGGGAAAATCAATGACCCCCCGGGGCGGGGCCACTTTTGACCCCAGGGCTTTTATTTGAACAAACTTGGTAGACACTCACTAGAAGATATTTCATGTCAAATATCTTAGCTCTAGCTCTTTGGGTTCTTTAAAAGAAGATTTTTTAAGTTTTTACTATATGCATATAGGGAAAATCTATGACCCCCTGGGGCAGGGCCAATTTTGACCCAGGGCTTTTATTTGAACAAACTTGGTAGACACTCATTAGAAGATGTTTCATGCTAAATATCTTAGCTCTAGCTCTTTGGGTTCTTTAAAAGAAGATTTTTTAAGTTTTTACTATATGCATATAGGGAAAATCAATGACCCCCTGGGACGGGACCAATTTTGACCCCAGGGCTTTTATTTGAACAAACTTGGTAGACATTCACTAGAAGATGTTTCATGCCAAATATTTAAGCTCTAGCTTTTACAGTTCTTTAAAAGAAGATTTTTTAAGTTTTTACTATATGCATATAGGGAAAATCAATGTCCCCCTGGGGCGGGGCCAATTTTGACCCCAGGGCTTTTATTTGAACAAACTTGGTAGACACTCACTAGAAGATGTTTCATGCCAAATATCTTAGCTCTAGCTCTTTGGGTTCTTTAAAAGAAGATTTTTTAAGTTTTTACTATATGCATATAGGGAAAATCAATGACCCCCTGGGGCCGGGGCCAATTTTGACCCTAGGGCTTTTATTTGAACAAACTTGGTAGACACTCATTAGAAGATGTTTCATGCCAAATATCTAAGCTCTAGCTCTTACGGTTCTTTAAAAGAAGATATTTAAAGATTTTTCTTTCGGTTGCCATGGCAACCAGAGTTCTGCATGAAATGGAATTCTTTGAACAATCTTGATAGAGCTTCATACAAAGAGTATTCCTGCCAAAATTCATTAACATTGGCCCTGCGGTATCATAGAAGATGTCCTTAGAATAATTAAAATGTGGACGGACGACAGACGACGGACGCCATTTGGTTGGCCATCCTAAAAGCTCACCTGCACTTTGTGCAAGGTGAGCTAAAAAAGGGCCCATGCTCACATGTTTCCATCCAGCCAGAAATATTCTCATATAAGTTGATAGTGAAACAAATTCATTAGTAAATGAATACCAGCACAAAAATATTATGTACACAAAGTTGATAAATATAAATCCAAACAAATCTGATGAAAGACAAGAGGGTCATGATGGCCCTGAGGTCGCTCACCTGTATATAGGCCCCCGGAGCGTGGCCAGTTTAAACCCCAGGGCTTTTATTTGAACAAACTTGGAAGACACCCATTAGAAGATGTTTCATGATGTTAAGTTTTTACTACACACATATAATGAAAAACAATGACCTCCCCCCCCCCCACAACCTGCAGGGCCAATTTTAACCCCAGGGCTTTTATTTGAACAAACTTTGTAGACACCCATGCTTAAGATTTAAGCTCTAGCTCATTGGGTTTTTTAAAAGAAGATTTTTTAAATTTTTACCATACACATTTAGTTATAGACAATGACACCCCTGGGGCGGGGCGGGGCCAGTTTTGACCCCAGGGCTTTTATTTCAACAAACTTTGTAGACACTTACTGATGTTTCATGCTTAATATTGAAACTCTAGCTATTTGGGTTTTTTGAAAGAAGATTTTTAAGTTTTTGCTATACACATAAAAGGAAAATCAATGACCCCCGGGGCGGGGCCAATTTTGACCCCAGGGCTTTTATTTGAACAAACTTGGTAGACACCCATAAGAACATGTTTCATGCTAAATATCTTAGCTCTAGCTCTTTGAGTTCTTTAAAAGAAGATTTTTTAAGTTTTTGCTATACACATATAAGGAAAATCAATGACCCCCGGGGCGGGACCAATTTTGACCCCAGGGCTTTTATTTGAACAAACTTGGTAGACACTCACTAGAACATGTTTCGTGCCAAATATGTAAGCTCTAGCTCTTAGGGTTTTTTAAAAGAAGATATTTAAAGTTTTTCTTTCGGTTGCTGGCAACCTAGAGTTCTGCATGGAATTAAATTCTTTGAACAATTTTTAAAGGTGACCACCAAAGGGACATTCCCGTGAAGTTTGGATGAAATTGGCTTAGTGGTTTATGAGGAGATGTCATTTAAAGTAAAAGTTTACGGACGGACGGACGCCGGACGAAAAGGGATCACAAAAGCTCACCCTGTCACTTTGTGATTTTGTGACAGGTGAGCTAATAAAATGGCAACTATGTTACCCCTACCCATACTCATGTGTGTATGGAACATTTTTGTGGATTATAAAAATGCTAATGCTTCATATTTTATTCAGCTCAAGACAAAAGAAATGTGATTAAGAAAATGATTACTTGGCATTGTTTCATTCTTAAAGAAGACAAAAATGTTGAAATACTTACCAGTCATTTTAAAAATGCAACAATATATCACAATAATGATGACAAGAACTGCAATGACGCAAGCAATAATGATAGGTACAACCCATTCTATTCCCGATTCTGAAAATGAATGACACATATTTTAGAAAACAAAAGAATCTATTTATTAAGAGAACTTAATTCTTCAATGTAAAAATAATTCATTGAGTCAGATTGGGTAGGCACAATTTTTCACCATTGGGCCATGATAGATATTACCTGGGATCGCTCCTGATATCATACATTGTCTGAAAAGACTTTTAAAGTAAGTTACCTATACAAGTCAATGTCACAAAACTGAAGTGATCCAAAGGCAGGACAATTTTTATCTCAGGAGAAGAGTTCTATATAATTAGTTTCAGCACATATGCAAATCTATGTTAAGCTAGGCCAATTTTGACCATAAAGGCAATACTACATGTAGTTAACTTTTGTTGAGGGCCATTCCTGTGCAATTTGTTAAAAATCAATCATTTGGTTAAGGATATGTTGTGGACAATGATGGACAATTGATAACATCACATCAGCAGATTGTGCACTTAAATTGATGTAATTTTTACAGACACTTGGGGTTTGAAGCTAAAACGCCTTTAAAATCGAAATAAAATGCATATTTGTCAATCCCAGCACATATACTGATCATATATATCAAAAAAACTTAATATAAGCCGTTTTGAAAAAAATTCATATTTCAACATCTATAATAATACACAATAATATAATATAATAATAATATAATAATATATATAATAATAATATATTATTATAGATGTTGAAATATGATTTTTTTTAAAACGGCTTATATTAAGTTTTTTTGATATATATCATCAGTACATGTGCTGGGATTGACAAATATGCATTTTATTTGGATTTTAAAGGTGTTTTGAGCTCAAAACCCCAAGTGTCTGTGTAATTTTTTGAAAAAGTATAGATTATTCATGTCATCACATAGAAATATTTTTATGTCAAGAACTTCAAATCTCTTGCTCCTCACTGCCATTGGTTCGAATCCCAACTGGGACTTTGAATCCTTTTATGTGAGGTAACTTTCAATGGCCACCAAGAAAGTCAATGTTAACTACACATCATTATACTTTTTAAAATAACTTTAAGCCTCCTTGTTCATTTAATTTAATAAAAATGCATTTGTAATTTTAATTTTATAAATATTTTTAATTTTACTTTCTTGCTCTTTGTTAATCTTTCATTCTGAATGATTTCCTTTTAATTATGAAAATTTTATGGCTAAAGCATACAATTTTCTTTCTAATTATAATGGTAGCACATACATTTGGCCACCAGACTTGTTTCATTTGATTAGCTAAGTTCATAGGACACTCTTGCCATCTTTAGAATGGCTAAATTCCATACCTTTCATCAAGGTCAAGTGACATATCAATAGGTTATATATATACATCATACAGGTATAACATGGGATGTATGATAAACAATTTTTTCAAGTTATATGTACTTCTAAATTCTTACTTTTCATAGATAAAAAAATTTGAAATGGTAATGCTGAACCTTGATATTTTGTCCTAATTGCATTGCACTTGTGACTTTTAGAACATCTTAATTAATCTTACATACTGTAACCCAACGAATATTCGCGACCAATTAATATTCGCTTAATTAGCTGATGGACACGAAGCGCGAATATTTGTTTGCGCGAATAAGTCCACACGATTTTGCGAATAAATTGGAGAGAAATTTTTATTTTAGACGTGGTTATGCAAAGCTACTTGACCGGATATATTCGAATTTTACGGGCACCTGTTAGGAAGTAATGAATTGTTATGAATATTGCCATAAAGCAAGCCATAAAGCAAAAAAAAACACAAACTAAGTAAACTACTATTATTTTATAAATATCAAAAGAACTCTATGTCAATATAACAATCAAAATAAACATCCACATTTTAATACAGTTTATGAAATACTAGTAGGCCTATTGTCAATCACGTTCCGTATAGGGTACTATACGCAGCATGTGTCAGTTTTAAGTTTCTTCATATTTACACTTCTATACTAAGTATATGCATACAAAGTACTCGCACTTATTTCAAAACAAATGTTTGACAAAAGTGGGAAAACTATCGAGCATCACAAAAGGCTATTGTTTTTTGGATCCTATAAAATAATTGTTTGAGTGAATTGTTAAGATAAAGGTGGTGTAAACCTATCGAGTATCACAAAAGGGTATTGAGTGTACATAATTACAAACAGTGAAATACAAGATGGTTTCATACTAGTATCGTTTTTTCCCGTCAAACTTAACAGTCTGTATAGCTCAATTGGTTAGATTGCGGACTCATATAACATAATTTTCTCGGCGTGGGTTCGATCCCTGATTGGAGAAGGTATTTTTTTATGAAACGCTTAAATTGAATTTCTTAAAGACTTTTCTAGATAAAATGAAGACGAACGATGCGTACATGTACATATATAGAAAAATGTTTTGCTAAATTGTGATCACAATTCACTTACCAATACAATATAAGGCTAGCGTATTGTTAATCCCATTTAAGACACCAATAATGACCTCAATTATTGAAGATTAATAGTCAGTTAATGGATTTTACTGCCCCATCGGACTTTCCAATCCGCGAATATTTTTTTTCGGAAATCAAGAAAACGCGGAAATTAATATTCGCGAATGTGTCCGACCTCAGCAAAACGCAAAAATTTGTATCCGCTAATATAAATTGGGTTACAGTATTATGTAAAGGCCTACTAAATTCTGTTTCCAAAAGTACATTTTCTGATTAAGGTTAAAAGACCTTGAAATTTGGCTATATTAAATTATCTACTATTGATGACTTATCACTGCAACAAATGTTTGGGTCACGACCAAGTTTCTTAAAATCACACCAGAACTGGTTGGTTCCAGGAAGCGGACTTGAAAGAAATTAATGTAAGTTGCAAGAACTTGTTTCGTTATCAAATTTAAATAAGTATGTTTAAACCAAACAAATCTATTAAGATATAAAGCTATTGATTTTTTTTTGTCATTGTCCTTGGACAGACTGGCCTCAAAATCAATAAAGGTTATCTAAAATGAATGACCAATCTCTACATTAAAATCTTAGCACATCAGGCCCTCGCATTCTCAAGTTTTCTCAAGTTATTTGTTCATACTAGCTTTTTGTGTCAAAAGCAATAGTGACCTTGGTCTTTAACAAGATCAGGTCATTTATAGTACCATTACAAGTCTTGAATAACATATACAGCAATATACCCCTACTTCTTTGTAGGGAATTGGGGCATAATAATAGTTATAACTAACTGTCACAAACCTATGGCTGTTAAAACACAACATTTTCATCAGACAAGTTATCCTATGACTTCATTATCATAAGGGGCTACGTACTACCCATGTTCCTATCAAGTTTACCAAACATACCCTTTATTTCTGTGCAGACAAGACTTTTCACAAAGTGTGACGGTGACCTTTGACATATTGACCTTGAAATCTATAGTAGTCATCTACTGGTCATGGGCAAGTCCCTACCACACAAAGTTTAAAAAACTTAAAACACTGACGGATGATCTTATAACCTCAAAATCAATGTTGGTCATCCACTGACCATGGACATTGCATCTACCAATTTAATTACTCAGGCTTTCTCCTTCTACATTGTGACAGATCTTGTTCTTTGACCCTATGACCACAATATTAAGTAGAGGTCTTTTTGTCATGGGAATGTCTCAAGCTTATTCTTTCTCAAGTTATTGTTTGGACAATGATAACAGGAATAAGAAGATACAGATAAACGGCTGGACCAACAAAACATAGTATGCATTAAATGCATTTAGCAGAGCAATATCTGAAGATTTCCTAACATGTACCTATCTTACCTTTTTCACATTTTCCATGATGTTTTAAATGGAATTTCCTATCCTTACAAAAGTTTTTCCGGAGGTCACATTCTGTTGAAAATGTCCTGTATTCTTCAGACTTTGAATCATATCCACAAACTGGTTTTAAAACAGATGGACAACTATCACTACACACACATGTCCCATTTTTACATATACTGTACTCATCACAGTCTTCTTTACAACCTAAAGAAAACATGCAAATGATATTTAGAGAGGAAAACAAAAATTGACTTAGTATGGTACTAGATAATGGTTCAAAACAATTCATAATGAATACAACAAGTTATTTCTTTAAACATAAAAGCTGACAAATTATTGAACTGTATGAACTGCATGATTTGTGCTTTTTGCTATAAATCAATCCAAAAGGTAAATTATAACCTACCTTCAACTGGAACTGGGACAACTGGAGTTGTTGTTGTTAATAATGGTTTTGTAGGGATGTTTGGTTTAATGACTATTGCTGTTTTTCTGAAATGATATTCAACTATTTATCATTCACAAATTTAAGAAATTCACCAGTAGTTATTTATGTTGCACAAAGTATAGGCAGACATTTTTCTGATATGTTTTTTCAAGGAATCCAAAGGGTAGAGCATTTTAATGGTTTGGAATCTCAATATTCAAGATATTGTCATTTACTTCATCAAAAAAACGAGTTTAATCTTATTTTTGTAATGGTCTCAGATAATTGCCAGCCTTAAATAATACTACAGGAACAACATTGATCGATTTTTGAAAAATTATAAGAATTATAAGACACATCTGAGCATTTTATGCACTAGTAAACTGAAAATTTGTTAAAAGAGTGATATATTCACAAGAATTATGATGTCATACATTCACAAGGATTATGATGTCATACATTCACAAGGATTATGATGTCATACATTCACAAGGATTATGATGTCATACATTCACAAGGATTATGATGTCATACATTCACAAGGATTATGATGTCATACATTCACAAGGATTATGATGTCATACACAAAGAAAAATAACCATCATAAATATGACATTTCATAGTTTTCTTTTATTTAGCAAAGTAAGTCAAAGTTATTTATGTTTTATGAACATATTAATTTATTTATAGTATTTGCTAGAAATGAGAAACTGAATCATACATTGTTGGTATAGGTTCACAGATATCTGAGTCTTCTCTTAGTCTATCATAGCCTTCTTCACAAGAAGGAGCACATGTATAATCTAAAATAAAATATAGACATTTAAAACTTACTGTATGGTGGTTAATTTTGCGATGTGGAAATATTTGCGATTTTTGCGAATTGAAATTATTCACAAATATTTAATAGCACAAAAAATATTTCTTTTTAGTAGGGATGGCAACGAATACAAAAATCAATACTCTAGTACTCGGTCATTTTTCTGATCGAGTACTCGGTTACTCGGATGATTTCCAGTGATCTTCAAAGTATATCTCACAATATAAACACCGTCCGCATGCCACTTTCGTTTTCTATTTAAATTAATAGAATTCTTTTCTATAAAAAGGACTGCACGGGAGACAAATTAAATAAAATTAATTCAATAATATGTTATTTTACAACATTTTAATTAATGCAACATCAAGTTTAAAACATGTATAACAGTTCATATATCTTTTCTTTTTGGAATAATATAGACTGATCGGCGGCAACAAAATCAAAAGGGGTCTAAATACTAGTTACCTTCATATTAGCAATCGACCCTTTCTTGTTTTCAAAACAGTTACATCCGCTGCAAACTGTTACACAATTAAAGGTAATAAAATATCATAAGAGGCTGGATGACATAAGCGACACAGGTGCGCGTGTCAAACTGTTGATCGCCTTGTTAAATTTATGATATAATTTTCACACCTCTGCAAGGATGTTTTGATTGCATTTAACAGGTATTTATGAAGATACATGCACATCTCTGAATTTCTGAACTAACACACTAATCTTTCTAAATCGTGAAAAAAATTAGAAATTATATATTTTTTCCGAGTAATCGAATATCAATTTTGTTAACCGATATTCGGACGTTCCATCGAGTACTCGGTTAACCGCTTACTCGTTGCCATCCCTACTTTTTAGGCAAACTTTCTTCTTTTATTTGAAAACATGTTTTCATAAAGCATCTTACATGAATAAGTTTGACTGTTCAGGTACTGAGATTAATTTTTCTCATTGCTTGTTTCTTTAAGTTTGGTCTAAGTCTAAATAAATTACAAAATGTTTAAATGAAACAATATATGTGTTAGTAACACACCACATAGATTATTCATAAAACAAAAGAATGTTTCAAAATATGACAAAGAAACATGTGATCAGGTCCTTTATCAAACTAACAATGTATTTTCAAACAATTATATAAATAACAAAGGTATTAAACAACTGAATAGAATAATTACAATAATGGTATATTTTTAACGGTATCCGGACAATTCCCCTCCCGGACGATTCCCCTCCCAGTAAATTTGAATGTTTTTTCACAACCAGGACATTTCCCCTCCAGTTATTTTTTTTACGGCAGACAATTCCCCTCCCGTTCTTATATCAACACGGAGAATTCCCCTCCCGTTCTTTTAACAACCCGGACAATTCCCCTCCCGCTGTTGTCAGAGCGGACAATTTCCCTCCCGTGGCTGTTGAATATATATATTGTATAATATTGTTTATTTGAAAGGTATTTTCAATCGTCTTTAAATACATTTTGCTTATCTCTAGGGCGGAAATGCAAATGGTATATCCCCAATTTTTATACATGAATACATGTATAAACAAAACAGAACGTATTTTTTAAATAATCTTTATTTCGTCAATACATTTTTTCATAAAAGAACAATTGATAAGAACAAAAAAGCAATTAAGCTGTATATTCAGAGACATAGATAACATCTATGTCTCTGGTATATTCTTGCAAAGTATATGTTATGCACATGTTATAGTAAGTTGAACTGTCATCATCGTCATTATGATTAGAAAGTCACATTCACCATATTGAATCAGTACATGAAGTCCAAACACAAAATATCAGTGATCATTTTGATTTTATATATGATTGAACACATTTGTAGGAATATTCTCCTTCATTTTTAATTGGTTTTGCAATCAAGGACACATTTAATTAAGGGCGGCAATGATTAAAGATTTTTTATTGACAGTTTGTTTATCTTAAGCAGCGGCAGCAATGATTAAAGGCGGTATAATGTCACTTTTGTGAAATAATGATTGTTAAAAGTTCCGATCTTTAACTGTTTATTGTTAAGAGTAAAAACTGTCATCTTTAATAAGAATGGTTATAGATTTTTTTATACGCAATGGCAGCTATGATTAAGGGCCGTATAATGTCACGTTCCGCTCTGTGAAAAAAATGGGAGGGGAATTGTCCGCTCTGCTAAAATAACGGGAGGGGAATTGTCCGCTCTGCTAAAATAACGGGAGGGGAATTGTCCGCCCTGTAAAATTAACAGGAGGGGAAAATTCCGGCCTGTTAAAATAACGGGAGGGGAAATGTCCGGGTTGTTAAAATAATATGGAAGGGGAATCGTCCGGGAGGGGGATTGTCCGGGATTCATTTTTAACTTGTACATGTACCTGCTTAATAAATGATATCATAAAAACAGCATTAAATTCAATAATCATATTTTCACAAATATTTCCGCACGCAAAAAGTCCACTTTCTGACATTCGCAAAATTTTTGTGACGCATAAATATCCACTTATACAGTATTTTGAACATGGGCTGTTGGTTAAAAATACAAGCCCACTTTCATAAATAATGGTCATTCCATATGCAATAATATGAGACAAAATAAAAACACATCATATGCAACAGGTATATAACAGCGAAAATGTAGCTGAGAGTAAAAAGAAAATATAATGACTTTTTAAAAAATTCATCTAAGACCACCACCCATCTAAGATTACCATGTCTCCACAAAATGTTTCATGAAATATAAAAACATACATATACCAGGCAGGGGCAACGCTTGACACTTTTACTTGTTCTAAAAGCAAACAAATAAGTGGTTATTTGTTAAATTTATTAAAGTACATGTGGCGGAAATTCATAAAGGTTTTTTTTACATATTTTCATACATGATAAAGTCTAAAAACACGTAAAAGTAAATTTTGAACAGAGATGAATATTACAGGAAATATCTCGGTATGGGGTTTCTGTACAAGGGTACATATTTCACAATGCTGCATCCCAATTTACCAGTTTATCGCCATATTGTTGCACCTTTACCACCATCCATACCCAAACTGGCACACGGTGTGGTTGGAAACAAGGCTATATTTACGAATGGCCAAAAAAGAAACAATATAAAATATTTTCTAAATTTTAAGAGAATATAAAACTTGATAAGAAAGTCTACCAAGATGATTATAACAAGAAATGTCGAAAGACACATATGCCCCCCTTTCTAGCCCTTGATCGTCTCAAATCAATGATTCCACATTTGAAGTAAATTTCATGTCCCATTGTGCCAAGAAAGGACACTTCCAATGGCCAAGACGACAGGATCAACAGATTGTTGAAAAACAGTTCATTTTGTGCTCTGGATTTGTGCCGGATTGTGTCAGCTCAGGCCGGCTGTGGTTTGTGAAGGAGCATGAATCAATTAGTTCGTCTTATGCTGAGTACGAAGATATGTACTTTTGATTCTGTGATAATAAGGTGTATACAATAAACACAGAACTAGGACTGTATTTTGAAAGCAACAAGGAACTTTTTCTGTGTAAGATGAACTTGTAATTTCATTTCAGAATATGAATCACAGTTTACTTTAGCTCAAATTTATAAGATGTTCATTGTTTATGTTATTTATAATTGTTATTTAAATCTGAATGTTAAAATGTGATTGTTACCAAGCTTAAATTTTAAATCATTTGATTTTACCATTGAAATGTTGTTTTTTAATATGTAGACAATGTTGCTTTATGAAATATGGATTTTGTATGCATATAACATGATGTGATGAAATTTTGATTAAAATATAAAAATGATGTATATTTATTTCTGTTCTAATATAAAATAACTTGCTAAATATTGGGTTTATACTAAATTTGATAGCAAAAACAGAAAGAACATGAAAAAGTACATTACAGTACCAAGTTTCATTTAGATATCTTTAAAAATAAAAACGTTATTCAACATTAAAGGAAAATTAATATCATTTCGGGTCCGCGAACGCGCGCAATACTTTATATAACATACATAGTGAAGAAATTCCAGAAAACCGCTCGATATTAAAATCTTTAAAGTTGCATAACTTTTTTATTTTTCAAGATATTTTGAAAATTTAAAATGTTCTCTGTTAATTATACAGTGGCTTTAAAGAGGTATAAATAAAGTACCATTGTGAAACACTTTAAAAATTGAGAGTGGTTGCTAATATTATTATAATGTGGGATTTTAATGTAAATCCTATAAAAAATCTAAGTAGAAAAAAATCTAAGTTCAAGGGGGAGATAATTCTGATAATAGTCTTGCTAGAGTATTTAACCTCCTCAAAAATGTTGAGTGATAATAAGAAACATATATATGAAATTTGAAGTAGATACATGAGGAAATAAAGAAGTTATTTAAAAAAGACAACATTTTTTTTCATAAAAATTCTAAGTTCAAGGGAGGTAATGCTGATAATTTTTGTGCTAGAGTTGTAAACCTTGTCATATATGATGTGGTTGATGTCCAGAAACTTATATATTTAAAGTTTGAAGTAAACACCTTAAGAAATAAAGAACTTATAGTGAAAAAGCTGAAAAATTTAAATCAGAAATCTTGAAATTCAGGCTATTTGTTGCCATAACAACCAGAATTTTCAACATAGGAAGAAAAAAAAAAGATGTGCAAAATCTCCAGACTGCCATCTACCCATATTTTAAGTTTCATAAAAACATTTTCAGTACTTTTTGAGTTATCACTGGATCCAGTTTATGTGTTAAATTTGCCATATTTTCAGACTATTTGTTGCCATAGCAACCAGAATTTTCAACATAGGAAGAAAAGAAAAAGACGTGCATAATCTCCATACTGCCATCTATCCATATATCAAGTTTCATAAAAGAAATTTCAGTACTTTTTGCGTTATCGCGGGATCCAGTTTTGTGGACGGACGGACTGACGGACTGACAGACAGACATACGGACTGAAAGACAGAAGCACAGACAGACAGAGGGACGGAGGGTAAACCTTAAGTCCCCTCCGGTTAAACCCGTAGGGGACTAATTATCAGCGGAAACCATTTTGACATTTAAGGCCCCTGTGACCTTGACCTTTGACCTAGTGACCCCAAAATCAATAGGGGTCATCTTCTACTTATGACTAATCACTATGTGAAATATTTAGACTTTGTGATGAATGCATTTCAAGATAATAAGCGGAAACCGTTTTGAAATTCAAAGCCCCTGTGACCTTGACCTTTGCCCTAGTGACCCTAGAATCAATAGGGGTCATCTACTAGTTATGGCCAATCACTATATGAAATATGAAGGCCATGTGATGAATACTTTTCAAGATAATCAGCGGAAACCATTTTGACATTTAAGGCACCTGTGACCTTGACTTTTGACCTAGTGACCCCAAAATCATTAGGGGTCATCTACTAGTTATGACCAATCACTATGTGAAATATGAAGACATTGTGGTGAATAGAATTCAAGATAATCAGTGGAATCCATGTGTTCTATCGATGGACAGACGGACGGACGGACGGACCGACGGACAGACGGACATTACCAAAACAATATACCCCCTCTTCTTCGAAAGGGGGCATAATAAAGTATGCAAAATAAATGTGACTAAACTTACTTAATAGCCTTTGTTGTGGTTTTCCATTTGGCAATTTTGGACATTCTTTTTTGTCACATTCATAGTCAATGTAACTACACATTTCAAAACTTTGATCATTGATAGGTGCATATCCTTTCCTTGCATCACATCGACAAAAACGTTCATTTTTTGAATCGTCGTCATTGCATAGGATCTTGTGAGTTCCTTCAGAACAATCATTCCATTTTTTATCTGGACATTCAGAGTATGTTGAAGAAGATTTGTTGACACTGTTGTAGTAGTTATTATCAAAACAGGTCACACAATACACATCTGGTTCTTTTATTTCTTGACCACTTCTTTTAAAGCTCAAATGTGGCTCTTCTCCTACAATATAAATTTTTGTACTTCGAATAAGTTTTCAAGTTACACTCTGTTCAAGAAAATTATCTCGAGGCCCAATCACCTAATCTGAACTACAAGATGCCTCCTTTATATATAGAGGATATTTGTTTGTTTGTGTGTAAGATGAAATTTTATTTCATCGAGTGGGCTTTAAAAACAGTATTCTCACGAGTGGCGTAGCCACGAGTGAGAATACTGTTTTTAAAGTTGACGAGATGAAATAAAATTACATCTTACACCACAAACAGACAAATTTTCTTTTTATTTTATGCTTAAAAACATGTTAAAATGAAATCTGTTTCCCCCATTGAGAGCCCCATTTAGACGGAATTTCTCATTTAAAACAAGAAGTCTTGAGCTGAAAAATAAGTCCACCAATCAAGGTAAAATGACGGTGATATTTATTCATTTTATTAAAAAAATATGAATGATCGCTTGTTTTAATAATAAAAACAAACAATTCTTGTAGGAGAAAAAGTCCAACCATCCATCCATACTTCTGTTAGCAATCCGGTCAACCCGTCCCCTGGTCAACTTGTCCTCTAGTCAACACGTCACCTTTTTGGTTAACTCGTCCCCTACTTTTGGTCAACTTGTCCTCAAAGAGTCAACTCGTCCATAATATGGTCAACTCGTCCCCTACTTTCAATCTATTCGTCACTATTGTGTTGTAAATCAATGTCTTTAAATAGTTCTTTTATGTAAAATTAATAATAAATTTGATTGATATCGAAATATTAATAAAATAATGTCTTTTTTACGTTAAATTTTAATGATCTTCATCTAAGCACACGTGCATAGCTTTGATGTAAAACTACAAAGACGGGTCACGTGCATAGCTTTGATGTAAAACTACAAAGACAGGTCAGTTTGCAAACATTCAATTAATGTTTAATTAATCGGAGTTTTAATGATAATTAAAACTAAAATTAGGTCCAACTCTTTGATTTTTACCGCCTCCCTGAACGGATTAAAGACTGACGATAGATTAACAGAAATTAGAAGTGCTAAAAACTATGTCGGTGCGTATTGATCTCATTATATGAGGATCGTGTTAATTGATCATTGTTTGTTGTGAAATTGTCAATATAAAAGTTGCCCTGATAAATATAAGAATTATTTTAAGGGGCCTCCGTGGCCGAGTGGTTTAAAGTCGTTTAAATTTGAGATTTAAACAGGCCCCCTCCCCACTATGGGTTCGATCCCGTTTGGGTCAAAATTTTCATGTGAGGAAGCCACCCAAAGGTTTTGGTTTTAGGGAATCGGGGGGTTTCTCCCAGGTCCCTGCTCGGCCTGAAAATTAATCCCCGGGAGGGGAAAACCGGGTCTTCCTCCACCAAAAAAAGCAAAAAAAAATCGCAAAAAAATTGGGCCGGGACCTCTAGGATGACCCGACTTGAGTGTATGGGCTTTCCGGCGGCGACCTTAAAAAAACGCATCAAAAAAATAATAAGAATTATTCTTAAAATCGCATTTGCGTTGTACGTTATATCAACATTGGATTATTTTTATAGTGCATATTAATCCTTTCTTAGAATTCCATATTGTTGGATTATAGACTGCATGTGAACGGTGTATGTGACAATTTTACTTATTTGTGTTGTTGATTGCGACTTTTTTAATTTATTTGTGTCGTTTATTGTGACAATGTACCACTGCATTGGTTGTAGGAAACATGTGCGGAAGAATCAGCAAGCACTTCAGTGTGAGTGCTGTGAACACTGGCAACACAGAAGTTGTAATACAGGTTAGTCATGTGTGATGTTTATGTTCATTATTAACAGACAAATGGTCTTGCAAAAATTGTCAAAGAATTTTTATTTGTTATTATTAGGTAGCGGTAAGGAACTCTGAATTATGTAGCGAAGGAAGACTTCGCCGCTACCAACGGAAAAACTACACCTTTCTCCAGGGCCAGGGCCAGACGCACCAGCTGTGGGACAGATACAGGAATGGGGAGTTGTCATCAACGGGACTTCTAAGAGAATTCGGGAACTTATATAAGCCTCAAGAGTCGTAAGATGTCAAAAAAACAAAAAAAGACAATGAAATATGTGCATGGAAAAAAAACAATGAAAGTGAATATATATGACATATTATTGACAAAAAAGACATACTATATGACCGCCGCCATGAGAAAAGGGGCACTCGGGCATGTATGACGTAACGTCAAAAACTTCGGGAAAAGGAGAACGGCTAATGACAGCGATTTTTTCGTCGCCATACTAGTTTCGGTGCGCGAGATTTATAAAGTATTGGCTGTATATGAATTGTTTGAGGAAATGGACGAATTTGAGGTAAAAAAAACAAACATTCTATTATATTTATATTTAAAAAATTTGGTGTCTAGTCGTCATATTTATTGACTTTTTAAACACGTCTGCTGTTCGCTATCGTTTGCAGCTTTAATCCCGGTCTACAAATTATTCACAGCAAAACTGTACATTAATTTTAAATGATGTCACACTTTGCAATTTCTGTCAGTTTATGTCATATTTGTTAATTTAAACTGAATTTTATTAGCGCTGTATTGATTTTTTTCTTTTGACAGCAGTGTTTACATAAATGCTAAGCGACGTGATTCTCTCCCCTGTTTGCTATTTTTAGCAAAAATTATTTTATATAATAAATATTGATGGCTTATGATTACATGTGTCCGTGGCTCAGTGGATTCAGCGTGTGCATTGCGTGCGCGACGATCGTGGTTCGAAACCTCGTTCAGTCATATTTTTTTTTTACATTTAATCTTTAAATGTTCTTTCAAATACTTTTTTCGATTATTTTAGGAATTAAATGGATTATTTGAATCATTTGGAGTACCTGCCGAGCAGATTCCAACATCAACAGAGGTTGATATTCCTGAAGATCTGAGCCAGGAGTTTGAAGTCAGTGACAGTGACCAAGAACAGTCTGACACAGAACAGGTAGTGAATGAAAGGATTGAAGAAGTGATTAGAAATTATGACACTGTAAATTCCAGGGAATCAGACTCAGACAGAGACACTGATGACGCATCATGTACTCGTAACAGAGCCTGTAATGTTTGTACGTGTAAAGTTGATTGCCTTCTCTAGTTTGACAAAGCTAGTGTTGACAGTCACATACTTTCTATGAGAGAGATTGACAGAAATGAAGCAGAGATGTTCATTACTGGGAGTGTACATCAAATTGCTACTGACGAAACTCTTAAAGGGAAACGCCGGAAACGGACTCGTTTTAGATACACATTTCATGGTAAACCTATCTGTAAGAAGGCATTCATGTATGTAAATGATATCGGATCAAAAGCTCTCCGAAACCTACTTGATCACTTTACTACCAATGGCGCAATACCACGTACCCACGGAAACAGTGGAAGAAAACCACACCATGCCCTCGGTTACAATGAGATACGGTTTTGTGTAGACTGGATTTTATGGTATGCTGATATCAATCGTTTACCTATGCCAGCAGCACCCAGGGGCCGTGACGGGAAGCCCCTATTCTTCTCCCGTCGAACCTTACAAAAGCTTCTCTACACAGTCAATATTGTCAGGCATGTGAGGAGTCAGATGTACGGAAGCTCGGAGTGTCATCATTCAAAAATGTATGGAAAAATTGCATTCCACACATAAAGATAATGTCACCAAAAGATGACGTGTGTCATAAGTGTTATGAGCAGTTGCGACATAGTGTTATGGATGCTGTGACGGAGCAAGCAAAACTTGATGCAGCAAATTGTCTCCGGGAGCATGTGCAGGTATTCTATATTGCTAATTGTTATCTTGTATTTTTCAAAGTAGCTTTTTATTTTCCCTTTGTTACATCTCATGTAAGTAATACCGTAGGCATAAAAATCATAGATATTTTATATACATGTACATTTTGGACAAACCACAATATATGTTTTACCTTAATGTTTTAGGATGCTCAAACAGAACGTCAGGCGTACATGACAGCGGTTATTCAAGCGAGAGAAAAAGATGGTAGGCTACACCCGACCGACAATACCCGTTGCACCAATTTCCACAGAGTTCAGTAAGGTATGCATATGACAGTTATGGTATAAGCTTTTAAAGATCTTTTACAGGGTTATATGACCATATATAAACGGTTGTTGTATATATAACCGAGCTGTAAGGCAATTGCATGATTACCGTTTACATTCATTAAGAATTAATTTTTATTACGAACTTATAATAATGCAAACTTTCTTTATTATTTTAGAAGTAAAATGAAATAAATATATAAATCGATTGCAGCAGTGCATACAGATTTATATTAACGTCACGATTATCCGTTGAAAAAATGACGTTATAAACGTGCAATATTATAGTTATTAGTGCAAATAACATATTGAGAGTGCTATAGTCTGAAGGCTCCTGTCTTTATATTTGATAATTAAAAAAATGGATTTAACCCATTGCTTCATGAGCATTTTGTGAAAAATGGCTGTTTTCATTGAAAAGTCTCCCGTTACAAGTTCAAATTGCTATAATACTATAAAAACTGCTTCAACACTAATCAAACTTGGCACAAATGTTGACTGGACCATTGTCCTTGCAACAACATGCTCAGACTTAAATTTTCTGTTACCATGGCAACGAGGGGACATCTCAAAATTGCCAAAAATCACTATTTTGCGTTGATTTTTTCCATCAAAAATTGATTTCAAAGTGCTGCAACTTATCAATGGATTGAGATAGAGTCAAATGCTTTTCAGCGTTGGTTACACGTTACCTTATGATCAATCTGGGGTCATTTACAGCCTCTCACAAGTCCAAAATTTTCTTGGCGATGAGGGGGACTCCGCCCCCCTTCAAACCCCCAAAACAGAAGGGGGCACATCCCCCTTCTGGCAACCCCCTGATGTATCTTTTGGTTGGGGGGGCCGCGCCGAAAAAGAGGTCAATTTTTTTAACAACATTTCTCAAACAAATACAAGTGTTTGGGGCCTAAATAAGGCATTTTTTCATCATTTGAGACAACAAAAAAGGGGGGGG